CATAAATCCAACTTTACCGATAATGCAAACAATTATAATATTCGCAATTACGCATCATTTCTAATTGATCGAATAGTCTTAATATTCGCGATACACGATATAAAACAATGATAGCTATGAGTAGCTGTTTATTGAGCCACTGATAGTATGAACTTTTAGCATATTATCAGTGGCTCAATAAACAGTTACTCAAACGAACAAAGTGAGCAACTGATAACAAAAACGGAGACATTCACTCCGTTTTGATGAATTATAAACCGTAGAGGCGACAAGATATGACATTTCCAATCGCACTGCCAAACCAATCTTCGGCACAAGTAAGATTAAATCATCCTAAAGTGATGAAGACTATCAAATTCTATCAACCATGTTCTGAGCCATAATGACATATTCATTTTCCAGGATTCTCCTCCTGATAATGGATAATGCAGAAAACGATTTGTACCAAAACCAGTATCAAAGAACTTTGAAGGTACTCTCAAGGGTTGAATTCACCCCCAACAAGTAGTAGTGATCGTGTATTTCTCAACCAGGCGATGTTTCTGAGTTCCACTTGATATTTGGGGTGTAAAAGAGCGTTTGCATCATTCCAGCCAAACTTGCAACCTGGTTTACCTAAAATTTTCGGCACTCCGATATCTTTATTTTGGACAAAAACTCAAACAACAAAAAAGACGTTGATGCTTCGCAATCCATTTGCAGTCATTTTTTCGCAATCATACAAATTGTTGCAATCTATTCATTTTGTCAATCCTGCGAACGAGCGATTTGATTTTCTGAGGTCCATTGCTTGGCGAGCTGCCTCTCCGTTCGTACTTGGTGAACTATCTATATACGTCTTGCTTTTACCAACCGACAATACGGAATTATCACTGAACTGAAGTGTGTTATTCATTTGTTTACCAGTAAATGAGATTGTAAGTAGATTGTAAGCTAAGATGTCACAGCAGGCGACCCCACAACAAATTACACAGCAGTTCGCTACATTGACCAAGCACCGTGACCAATGTATGTTTCCATTTAATTTTCTGCTTTGATTTTATCAATTTTCAATTTGATTGATGAATTTTAGTGTTCAAATGTGATGTTTTTCTTGAGGCTTATCTTATTTGCGAAAATTCACATCGATAGTGAATTAATTAAAGCGTATATTCATGAACTATGCTTCTGCTCATCCTTTCTCAACGAACCGATCAATCTAAATTCAAGGTCTCAATGCTGTCAAACAACTCCGCAATGAGGTTTTCGATGTGCATCGCAAAATATGGCCTGGCCTAGGCAGCGAAGGTGAATCATTGGAAAAACATCGGAAATACGTTGAAGAAAAAGTGGAATTGATCTGTCAACTATACGAGTATGGTACATTTAATATCTTCATTCTTCATTCCAAAATGTTATGACATTATTTCTCTCTTCACCACAGAAGTCGTCAGCATGTAGTTCAAACACGGTTTGAAACTTTGTGCAAAACGAAGAAAATTTCCAAGTGTATTCAAACACTCATATGGATGCGGAAGTCATTTGTCAACGGTGGTAATCTTGCATTTAAGGTCAGTAAAATCAAAACAGCATTTCGTTCGTTCACATTNAATGTGAACGAACGAAATGCTGTTTTGATTTTACTGACCTTAAATGCATGATTACCGTCAACGGTAATGATCATAGATTTCGCTGAATGGTCATTCTCACTAAATCTTACAAAACTTGTCTTCTACTCCGATCACATGTGAAGTTTGTTTCGAGTCTAATTTGGTCTTTAGAAGCTGATTTTGACGCTGACAAAATAATACCGAATTTATAAAAATTGGTGATGATGATTTTAAGAAAGTTGGAGAATCATGCAAGGAATATGCCGTCTTCAACACCCGTTACCTCGCAAGTGGAACGGTTGAATCGACTGCTAAACGATGCACATATCGATCCGTATATAAGTGATTTGTATGACAATTTGTTGGACGCGTCTGTTTGGACGGAAACAAATATTGTTAGTGGAATTATTACAGTCTTATCATTGAAAACACGCACTCTCCTTATTGTTAAACAGATGTGTTTCTTATTGTAATAACGTATCGATGATAATGAAATTGCATTGCTCGGTATGCCGTTATCCTCATTTTGTGCTCTAATCCATCACCGTTTCAATATCCACCAATCAGTAACCACACAAAAAAACATTCTAGAGATTAACTGACTCGAGACAATATCAGTGTTAATGTATGTATTGAAGATGTATTAGTGTTGCTTTTTCCCATTTGATTTTCATGTTGCACTAGCTTTATTCAATGGAACACCAACTCGAATGCTGTCATAAAATTCACAATTCGTTAGTAATTCGTTCATTAATGTGTTCTTTCAGCAATTCCTACAATTACTCGCAGAATTTCTGCGAACGGTAGCCGGTGGACGACGGAGATCGATAATGATCGACAAAACAATATCGTTCTCAAACTTCACATCCGAAACATCACCACAAATCATTTTCGAACGGACACTGGCTACAGCTCTACGAGATCCGAATAACCAGAAGATGGTTCAAAGTAAATATTTAGAGAGGAGCACTCTCTCGGCTGTTGTTGAGGTTTGCTTCCATGTTCTTTTTTTATTGTTTTAGTCACAATCATCGTACATGCATTCAGCTATTATTTATACCTTACCTTTTTTTTGCAGACTCACGATCAGTTTGTCTAATTCTAAGAGTAATTGTACAGTACATATTACGTCCCATGTATCCAAATTATTTGTACTTTATTGATGCAGCCGGTCTTTAATTTAGATTTGAATTTTGACAATTATTTTTATGACTAACTCTCGTTGAAGTGTATGATTTATTTCAGTTTTGAAATTGAATATCTTTTAGAATGACTGATTAGATTGAAAAATCTCCTAAATGATCAATCTTTTTCAGTTTAAATTTGGTCAATTTGTTGATAAGCAGTTCGTTTGCCTCTTGAAGATGTTAATTGTTGTAAATAATGGATCATTTGAATTCGTACAAATTTATGCACCTCACGAGGAATGGAATTATATTGATGTGAACCAAAAACAGGTAATTATTAAACTCCCTATGAAACCGATTCGTTGTAAATAAAAGTGATACGCTCATTTTTGGAATCTGATTGTTTTGGATTGTATGTATTTTGCTGAATTGGCTGATGATTGGTGAATTCAGGTTGATGTGTTGAAAGAGAGTCGTTATATGGTGTATCGAAAGATGAGTGTTCAAGCGAATATTCATCTGATGCAAACGATCATACCGTGTATCGATATACGAAATCCACAAACACTTTCCTTTATTCTCAATGTGTTTCGTAAATTCGCTGAAGTTTTTGAAGTGAAATGTCGATATTGCAAGTTGGTTTCATTTTCGTCACTTTTCCGAGAACGAATAATTCCTCTGCGAGTTCATTGCACAAATCTCAGCACATTATATCGCTGAATTTAATTTTATTCTTGTTCGATCATCATAGCATAACCTGATTATTACTGGGAAAACCTCACAATCAGGAAGCGGAGGAATAATTATATATGCAATGTTTCCAGTAGAATTGCCAAAATGGACCAAATGACAGAGAGAAAAAAAATATTGTTCTCTTTCATTTTATTTGTACAGTTTACTGAGATTCCTAGATTGAATGCTCACTGCATTGTTATTCACAATTGTTGTAAATTGAAGCGGATGAATCTGACCGACAGATGATTCCTTGACTCAGATGTTATATTTCTTAACTCAGATGCATGGTCAGATGTTATAAGGTGAATGAATATTTTCAGCAAAGTGATGAAAGATTTCCTGCCGCCGTTGATGTTTGACCCGCGAAATCTGAAAACAGCTTTACATGAATCTTGTCGATGAATAAATGCCATCAACTCATCCAAATTTATTTGTTTGTTCTCGTATTGAACACGAGCAATTGTTGTTCTTGGCTGGTTGCTACTTGATCGACTCACTCCTATGCCTATCATCCCTATTGATGATTGTGCCTATAGATAATTAAAAAAGGTATTATTGATTTGCTGAAGTTTCGATTGATTTCTTATGTCATTTTCGTTCGTAACTAAAATATTGCGATCATTCGGGATATAGAAAGGGGAAAGTGTTTAGTGGTTTGTCTTGCTTGTCTCTTCTAAAGGACATTGTTTCGTTGTGCTTCTAGCTCGTTGTTTTAATTTTAAACTGAAACTTCTTTTAGAGTTCATTGAGAAATAGTCACGTTTTTTCCTTTTCTGTCTAGATTAAATTTACGTGTTATGTCGATCAACTGTTGGATTTTGGCTAATCTAAGAAGTGTAATCATAACGTATCAATCATTCTGTTGGTGCTGGATGCTCGAAATTACTCGATTGAAACTTATATTATAAATTGTGGTAGTTCCTCTTCTGATGAAATTAACGCTTATTGTCAGTCTAGCAAGAAATAAGCAAATTATCGGAAACAGTATTTATTTGTTACTTTTATGCTGTTGTATTATATTGTTATGTTTGTCATTATTGTTATAATTGTACAAAAATTTTGTTGTTGTGGAATGGCCGTGTTAATTCTGCATTAAAAACTGATTCATTTACAATCTTGCCGTTCTTCATTCATCTATTTTCCATTGGTAGACAATGCCAGAAAGACTCACCTTTTTCTTTGTTCGCAATCTATCTCAGTTATGCATTCATAAGATAGAGTGATTGGTGTGTGTATGGATGACTCAACGAAAATTCATGTTGACATCTATTAAAACCTGATTCATTTCCACACGATAACGCCTCATGAAAAATTAAATTCCTGGATGATTTTGGGTCATTTAAAGTAGTGTTCCTCTTTCGGCTCTGCTTCATGCTTCATTCATCGAGGTTCGAATAGCAACAGAATAAGAGAAGAATTTTTGGTTTATGTTTAGTGAATATATGGTATAAATGTTATCGCAATGTCGGCGCACTGCTTGAAAATTGCATCATTAAGCATTTCTTATAAATAGCGCCAATGTCGACCTGAAAAACAATCTGACCGAATGAAATTTTGTGCTTTATTATAATAAGTATGGATCTTCTTGTAAAATTCTGTTCCAACCGATATAATACAATTGCATATTTTTGGAAATAATTTACTCGAATGGACGGAATTTTTCAGATGTGCTTGTGAATAGTGAATACAGAGACGTTGCGAATAATACGTTCAACGAATTTTCCGATGAAGTTATTCGTTAAAACCCTCAGAAAAATTATGGGTCAAGCAAGTACAAAACATGAGGTTGGTATCATCAGCATTATGGGACATCTGCGCAGTTTTTAGAATATCACATTGAAAATAAATGGATTCATAGGAATGTATCTCTCATTAGTAGCAGTAGATAGATGAAAGAAGTGATTCGCGAATAGCGCGTGCAATTATCGCACATCGATTAATCATTACAAAAGTTACTATTTTATTCACATTGATGAAGATTCATTTCCGATCATACTCTTCCTCTGTCCAAAAGTGATTGCCTCCTAGAGTTCTTTTTTTTTCTAGTAGCATCTTGAATTAGTTCAACAATTTTTCGAAGAAGACGAATGAAAATGAGGTGAACACTAGATTGAATGTTGGACTGTGATAAGTTTAAGAATTAATAAATTTAGTACGAACAGTCGAAAGACTTCATGCTTATTGTAGGCAGCAGCAGCGCGAATTGAAAACGCAGACCGTGTTATTGTTGATTCGTCAGCATTGCACTGTCCAGTTTGTTTGTGTATATTTTCAAGGACACCCGTTATATTGCCTTGTGGCCATTCGTTTTGTAAGACGTGTATTCGACGCTTAATTGAAAATTCACTTCAGTTCACAAGTCATAATTTTCGACAGGTTTGTTTTCATTTGCGATTGTTTCTGAATATGCATTAGTACATAAGAGTATGAATTATGAACATGAATCGCTAGAATAGACCGTGTCGTTTGTTTATATCGAGCCGGTTCGATGAATTGTTATAATAACTGAATCGGTAGCTCACTATCAATCAGTCATTATCGAGTCAACACCAGTGACCAACATGAATGTGCAAATATTTCATTATTAATCTATTTTACTTTATTATCTGTTTTTTGTTGTTTCAGTTAAGTTATTCATTTTTGTTATTATCTAATCTAGGTTTATTCTATTTCTTGTTATATTTTTTATTTCTTACTATCCATTGCAAAGAAAATTTGCAGTTGCTGATTTCAGATATTTGAATGTCCCCTGTGCAGAGAGCCGTGTGCTAGTGATTTGGCTCTGACGAAGAATTTCGTTGTAGATGCGCTTTTAGAGTCAGTCGATGACATCGCATCACTGAAGGATCTGCCGCCAGCGGATAACAATTTGAGAGTTTCGGTAATTTTTGACTGTTGGCTTGTGAGCGAGCAATGAGGATGTTTCTCCAGTTCAGTATAAAATTCTTATATATTTGTTATGTTTATCCAGCATTCTGAATCTTTACTTGAGGAAGACGAATCAACTGGTTTCAGCGTGTGTTTTTATTTAATTGAATCGATTGGAGAATGTGAATAATTTGTAGATTTTATAATTGCAGCATTTATGAGATTGTGACATTTACTTTGTTTTACGCTTGAATTGTGCGAATTACTTATGATTATTGATTCGTCGTATGTCAGCGTAGAAATATGATATGAAATGAACGACGCAGTCTGGCAGTTACAAGTGATAATTTTCCAGAATCAACGGTTAAATCAAAAACTGCGTGAAGTTGAAGAACAGCAGAGGATATTACAGAAGCAACTGGATGAACAGAAACGAACCAATAGGCTGTTGCTAACTGCAGCTGTGCTTGCAAGTGGTCTATTTTTAGCGGTTCTTATTAAATTTATGTGGTGATTCCGAATTTGTGCATTTTGCTAGATAACCATCGCATACCTCATTTTTACATTCTGTAATTTGACATTATTGCTTCTCATTGTTCTGTTCGCATTCGTTGGGATGCCGTCTTAGATGAATGTTTCCTTTAAATCAGTGCCAACTATATGAGCCATTTATCATTTTTGCTTTAAAATATCTTCTTAATTTCGTTCTCAGTTTTTTTTTAGCGCTTTCATTTTCATTTTTAATTTCCGTAACCTTTCATTTACTCATCATACTTACCGATATGTTTCATAACTTCGTCAGCTTGATTTATGAAAGGTATCCTTGACGGTGGTATTAAAATAGTGGTGTTATCCGAGATTGAATTGCTTCCTGTTTCGGGAATATTCATTTGCGATGAGTACGCATAAAATCGCAAGCAACGTTTATCATTCAGGATATGAAAGAGTTTATGATCTATGAGAGTATCTTTAACATTTTCGTATCAATTTTGATTAATCCATTCAATTCCACTCTTCAATACCACTGCAATTCCATTCACAAATATTCACTGTCTAATCCGGCGTTACCTTTTTCGTTTCCGATTTTTGATGATGGCTTAAAGCATCATTAATATTGTTATTGCAATAATCGTTTGAAGTCGATTCTTCGAGAATCTTATTGAAATCTCGTTCGCTGATTTTTGAATTTATCACTTAACTTTGTGTTGTATTGGTTTGTAGCATTTTAATGTGAAATTTGCTGTAAGCTGATGGATAAACGTGAAATAAAACTATTCTCGTGTGAAAGAGCTTATCTCTACATGACACTCAACTCTCGCATCAGAGCAACCTTACCCAACCCAATCACTTAGAATTTTTTTTTAAATCCTGTCGATGGTTTGTTTTTATACGTTTGAGTCGTCAGATGAATAAACATTAACCGATTTAACAGGTAATTGTTGTGTGGCTGCTTTCTCGGATGATTGTTTCAGTTTATTCTCTTTATCAGCTTGATTAATATCCACTTGCTCCAATTGCTCATCTTCTCGTTCAAGACTCACCTTGAATTTCAATTCAACTCAACAATGCGCACACAAATTATTCATAGCAATAAACAGATAACGTCTACGAACGAGCACTGCAAGCAGTTATACGTAATGCCGTAATTCAACTGATGCAAAATGATTTGATTGGCAAATTCAACGGTGAATGACATTCTTTAAAAATAACTCTAATGATACTCCACAGTTTCCATCATTTTTTATCATCCAGTGCAACCCTTCATTTCCTTATGACAGTTGGGAGTGTATAGTTGGTTTTCGTTGAGACCATCAGAGTTGATTGCAATGGACAACTCTCAGGGTTTTTCTGATATAACGAACGGAGAACGCCTTACGTCTCTCGATTCTCGAGTGGCACCTCTTTTACGCCCGATGTATTCTCTTTCTTTTAAGCGCATCCTTGTTTCTTCTTTTTCAAACACTTTCCCATTCCAATCAAGCGGTAGTCTTATGTCCATACACTCATCCTTGATTATTTGTTCCAATGCGGACTGCAATTTTCCGAATTGTTTTAACGAATCATCGATTAAGTCTATCATTGATAGGGATAGTAAGGCAATACTATGGAGTGAAAAACTTAGTGAGATATTCAGCTTTTGTAACGACTGCAGATCAATTGGTATATGGATCACCTGAATGAGGGTATAATTCGGTTCTTCTTCAAATGTTAAATTGTCAACATATTTCGATATACTTTTATAGCCCTGTGGTGCTGTTTGAAAGATTTCTGGATCTGAATTCATAATGTTGCGGTCATATGAATACTTGAATTCTTTTATCAAAACTGTTATTAAATAAGGAAAGCCAGGTGACTAGCAAACGAATACGCCTCTCAAATATGTCATTTAAGTTTTTTCAGTGAGCCATCTTCATAGTGACTGGGCCCGTTTTCGAGAAGAGGACTTCTTATGTATTCCTCTTCGTATCGTGTCTTTTACGAAGAGATCGGATGAGAAATATGATTGTAGCGACATTTGATTAATAGTCCATCATTTACCATAAATTGCCGAAAACTTAACGAATTCCTTATGCAGCGTTTGGGGAAATATTCGCTCAATATTAGTTATTATTATTGAATGTGATGCGATGATCACAGTAATTATTATGAGTGATTTGATGACTGAACACTACGTACTCGGATCGATGAAGAATTTTTCTTTGAGTACCAAAACGGCTTCTTTATCAACCAACCGTTTCCAAGGCAATAATTTTATTGAATATAATTCAACGCTCATGTAGATCCAAGCCTCAAGATCGTCCTCTAATTCATCGAGTTGTTACAAAAGAAGACATCACAAACTTTTTTCAACAAATAAATTTTAATAGAGTTTTTTTGATTAATTTCAATTGTGCTAATCAATATTGTAATATTCAGCATATAATCTAGTCGTTGTAATAGGACAATCTTGCAAAGATATGCATTTATACGTTTATTCTGACAAATATTTTGGCTATAATTCGAAACATATCCTAGAATGGTTTCGTGCATGTCTTAGAATGGTGGTTCTTGTGAGAATTCATATTGCGGTTATCATGAAATGATTTGGATTTCCAAATATTTTAAGATATTCCAGCAACAGTTTCAAGTCGATTAGTTGACATCCATTAAACACGCATATTGATATCGCAAACCTTTCTGCATTGTTCCTTGTATTTGTGACAGTTTCTGGATGCGTATCTCACTGTGCCCATAAAGCGTACTCTTGGTCGCGGTGGTCTAAATAATCACTCAAAATTCCGTTTATTTACAACGACAAAACTCTCTTGGTTGTAAATACAACACGAAATAGCTCCTGATAACTTCTTCCATGAAAATAATTCCATTATTATATCTTTTCTAAATACCGTCTAAACCATTTTTTAAACACCTCTTCTCAAAAGTTTACTATCCAAGCTGTGGGCCCATGATAAACCACAATTTCTCATTGAAAAATACTGATGAAATAGGAACGATCGCAATTTTTTTTTCAGAAAATCTTGTATTTAGTTGATCGACGCATCCCTCTAGAATAAAATCGCTTTCTTTACAGCGCATTGTTAGAACGAATTCCTATCCACTACCTTTCAGGCTTTGAAAGATAGGAATTGGGGCCCGATTTTGATGGGAACACTGACA